CTTCTATTAGTAGGAGAATATTTTTCTGAATTTGAAGTATTGTATGCTCAACTCTCGAAACTTCAACCGGTGTCTGATAATAAATCCAGCGACTTTGAGCTAAATTGGATGAAGGCTCATTCTTATGCTAGTTCTCCCATTTTCTTTCTCTGAATCGAAAATGGAGAAGTGGTACCATAAAAGGTTATTAGATCCCTTAAAATAACCATTCTTTGTTATTACTAAACCGGATAAGGGATCTGGTGTTGTCCTCAAAAGTGACCGCCATGACTACATTAACAAAATGTTAACTATATTGAATGACCCTTCAAGTTTAAAACGTCTTGGTTCCATTGACACCCAGTGATTCTACATTGACTTCTGAAATTCGATTTCAGAAACGTCTTGTCAAATGGGTAAAAGTGGTGTTCTTTCCTCTAAAATGGCGGAGGAGTTTTGAGACCGTCTGGTTCTATTCGTCCCCGTCTATATGGATTACCTAAGATTCATAAGGAGGGTGGTCCCGTTGAGACCCATATTATCGATGATTGGGTCTTCACAGCATAAAAGTCATAAAGTGGCTTGCTATAATGTTACAACCAGTGTTGCAGCATTACAGTTCCTTTTTGTATTAAGATTCATTTCTTTTCCAAATTCATTCGGAATTGTGATGCCACTGATGGATTTATGTGTTCCTTTGACATATGTGCCCTCTTCACTTGTGTTCCTTTATCCTACTCTTGATATTTGCAGCGATATGTTATATCGCAGTGATTTGACTCCTCGAATATACCTGAAGAAGTGTTCGTTGAACTCATGAAATTTGCCACTATGTTTGTCGATTTCAGTTTCGACAATATCATGTATCGTCAGATCGATGGTGTAGCGATGGGTTCCCTTTGGGTCCTGTTTTGTAAATATTTTTTGTGGGTTTTTAAGAAAGCCTTTTGTTAAGTTCTGCCGACCCAATATTTTACTTTCGGTATGTTGATGACACTTTTGTGTGTTCAGCCATGAATCGGAAGTGGATCAATTTTTTCCCTACTCAATGGTGTTCATCCTGCCATTAAATTTACAGTAGATAAGGAGGTCAATGGTTTATTTGCCCTTTTTAGATGTTCTTGTTCAAGAACTCCTTCCTTGTTTATTACCTCTGTGTACAGGAAGTCTACTTTTACAGGACTATATACCCGTTAGGACTCCTTTTGTCCTAAACAACAAAAGATTAATTTGATTAGGACCCTGACACATAGGGCGTTAATGATCTGTTCGGATGACACCTTGAAACATGAAATCCTTTGTTTTAACTGAGATCTTTTCAATGGTTATCCGTTGAACATTGTTCAATCGGTTTTTTCGAGATGAGACCGCTAGGTTCAACAAAATCAAACCTGCTTCAGTTGGTAAATGTCCGGTCTATCTTCATTTTACCGTGGTTGGGTAGGATTAGTGAATCCTTCGCCAAGCGTATTTCATGTAGTTCACGTGAGTGTTATTTTGCAGCGAACGTTCGTGTTGTTTTTTCAAACTAGGTCTGTACTTCCATCATATTGTAAAGATGTTTTACCCCCCCACCATATTAACTCTGTTATTTACTATTTCAAACCCTATATTTGTGGATGCGACTACATAGGTAGAACGACAAGCGGTTGGACGTATAATTAAACAACACGTACCTGCGATAATACTAAAAAAAATTTTCTTTTGGGCGATACCATTCGTAACACTTATGGGTCTTCCATTGCGGATCATTTATAAAGAATCCAACTTGTGCGATGGATTTCAGTGTGAACTGGTTTTCCGTCTTGGCCAGTTCGCACTCACTTTTCCATCTCAAGGTGTTGGAATCGCTTTACATCAGGTCAAAACAGCCTTCTCTTTGCAAACAAAGAGATTGTTTGTTTGACTTGCTGTTCTATCAGCTTCTAGCAGCTTGGTTGAGTATAAGTTATCTTTCCTTCCTTCCCTGTCCATTCATTCATGTCACCCATGACAGACTTTTTCTTTTTTCCTCATAATAAATTCCCCGTTAACAGTTCTGATGAAAGGGGACGAATCGGTCACTTTGTTGTTTTATTTTAAACTTATGCTATTGCATGCAATACAGATTCAGTTTTTAATGCACATCTATATATATATATTCATCATGTATGTTGCATATATATATTTGCACCTTCACTTCCTCAAGAGTAAGAAATCCTAAAAATGTATTCTTTGCTGTTAAATAGGACAAAAAAATTTTCTTACAAATATTGTTGATATTGAAGTCATATAAAATTAAAGAAATTATTATAACGCAAAGTAGGGTTTTTGACAAATCAGCTTATTCAAATTTCATCGATTGGTTTGAGAAATCGAGCGAAAATTATAGCTTATAAATCTTGAAAACAAATTTTAGCGATAGCTTCAACAATACTAAATACTGTGAGGATTTCAATTAAAATTCTAGTTTAGCAAATTTCCAAACATAATGTAAATTAATGTCTGTAAAAATAAAATTCCAATTCACTTTTTCTTTAAGGTTATACTTGGTGGTGGCCGTCGAAATTTTCTTCCACGAGAAATGGCCGATCCTGAATATAAAAATAAAACTGGAATAAGAAAAGACAAGAAAAATTTAATCAAGGTAATTAAAATCTATTTTATTTTATTTTTTCCAATTTCAAGTGTCTGTTTTGAATATGTTTGATGTACTACAGGATGCCTAGTGTAAAAAAAAAAAGCGGCAAATTTATTCGACGAGAAAATACACCAGCTCTAATTGGTCCATCTCAGTGGCCCTGCGAAAGCCCAGATCTGAATGCTATGAATTAATGTAGAAAATGGACGTGTGAGATTTTCGTGTATGGAACCTGTTCTCTAATAGTAATAAACTTGAGAAGATGTAACCGTCGACGTAGTTAATAAAATAATAGTTAAACGTTCTCTGTTGATGCTCTTCGTTTCTGAACCCAAAGAACATCTCGCAACACCGTCCAATAGAAAAAGATTGAACTAAAACGGCCAGCGATCACCAGCCAGAAGAGATGAGACCAAACAACATCTCCCAAACGAAGAGTATACATATATATATATATATATATATATATATATATATATATAATATATATATATATATATATATATTTTATGAAAACTAGGTAATCCGTATGGGTAGACCCAAGGAGGATAAAATCAGAGACTCAACAAATCAGAGCAAATAATTTAAATAAAAACAGACCACTTTAAGTTCCATGTAATAAATTATTTCACCTCAAAAAGCTCTTTTTAAAGGACTGCGAATCATCAGACTTTACTTCCAAAGGTTGAAACAAAAACAAACTGTGGTGAAATAATTTATTACATGGAACCTTAAAGTGATCTCTTTTTTATTTAAATTATATATATATTATGAAATGGACAAAGTCCGACAATTATTTTTAAGACATTTTTATGTTTATACATTCTTTTTATAGATACAAATATTTAAGTAAATGCTCTGTTTATAATAAACAGTACTAAACAACATTTACCGGCCTGAATGTTCGAATTTATTATAAACAGAGCATTTACTTTAAATATTTCTATCTATAAAAAGAATATATAAACGTGTCTCCAACAGGGAATAATTGCATCGAACTTTGTCCATTTCATGTCTTTTGACATCATTGTTTACATTTGATACGCCATGAGCAGATATGAATGTACACGAGAGATCCATGGATGATATAAGTTTAAAAAGCAGTAAATTAGACCTTGCTAACCGAATCGGTTAAAAGGCACGTCAGGTTATATGATGGTTCCGTATAGGATACAGGTTCGAATCCTGTCTGAGGACGAATATTTTGTATTAAAATTTCTCTGATATTCAGGCGGTAAATGTTGTTTAATACTGTTTATTATAAACAGAGCATTTTTTTTAAATATTTGTATGTATAAAAAGAATGTATAAACATTATATATATATATATATATATATATATATATATATATATATATATATATATATATATATATTATAGGATAAAATAAACATGTTTCACTTTTTATTTAAGCTTCCTCTTCAATTGATAACTAACTCGTTTGTAAAACCGTCATCGTGACATCATCGATATTGATTCATTGAAGTGGAACTTAGCTGAAGCTGGGAATGAAATTCCTCTTGATACTATCCGTAAAGCTACTGCCTCCAGGTTACCACTGGGTACTTTGTGTGTTATACATATTCGCTTGCTTAAATTCAACGTTGATTCTGATTCGGCAGAAGTGAGTTGGGTGTGAAAAGTATTTGTTGTTAACATTCTTTTTTCATTGGGTTTTTCCTGTTACGAGTACTTTTTTAAAGCTGATCGTTTTGTGTTCATCTTGTTTAGTTCTTTTTTCTTAACAGATTTAATGTTTAGTATAGAGCTTAGAAAAACTTCGCAGTGTGAGATAGGCAAGAAGTAAGGCATGTAGCAACATCAGCATGGCAAAGGGCACTCCTTTAAAGGCAAGGAAGGGCAAAAATATTTTAAGTCAAGTGATAGATTGCTGTATGAGTCATACGATTTTTGAATCGAGCACGGGCAACGCCGGGCCATGCTGCTAGTGTATATATATATAATGAAGAAGGATCTGCAATGTAATCGATCCTGACTTGGCACCTAGACTTCAGTCACTTTTTCATCGACATGATGTGACTTCCCTCTGTCTTTTCTACAAATATTTCCATGAATCTAAGCATGCTACTAGATTGGTATCTACGTTCCACTCTTTTACTGTCGAAATAGCTAAATATAACCGCCACCTCTACTCCAACAGTTTCTTTTCTCGCACTTCCCGCCTGTAGATCTAATTTCCTTTTACTTGCTTCTCTTATAATTACATCTTCTAAATATTAAAAGCAACGACAATCACCATCTCCTATCTTCTTGAACCCCGTTTATCGTTTATCCTCTCATCGGTTCCCTCTATACCGAGTCCCTTCTCTCATTTTCACTCTCTGTAAACACCATGCGTACTATTGGCATTCCCGCCTTCTTTGGGGTGAAATGATTTTAGAGAGAGAGAGAGAGAGAGAGAGAGGGAGGGAGAATATCTTGATCATGTTTTGAAAATGAAAACGTTATATAAATACAACAATCTATTTCTTCTTAATAGTTAGTATATTTCAACCTTGAAACTGGCTTAATATATAGCCGAAAGCCCTTGAATAAAAAGAACCATTGGGCAGTTTTTATATAATTTATCATACAAAAAGAAAAAAATTATTCGATCAAATGAGAAATTGTATAAAAGGCTAAATCAAAATGAAGTGTGCATGGAAGTATGATTGCTGCCTAAATACACAAATTTTAAATATATATATATATATATATATACATATATATATAGATAGATATTAAAAATGTGTGTATTTAGGCAGAAATCATACTTCCATGCACATTTCATTTGATTTATATTTATATATATATATATATATATATGTGTGTAAACTTTTTCTTTATCCAGCCAGTCTTTTTTCCTTCCGACAATTCTTGGACGCGCATTATCACCAGTCAGCCGGCAAGTGATGGCTGTCTCTTTTAAAATATTTATTTAGCCCTGTCTCTTAAGGGGCCAGTCAAAATTGACTGGGAACTCCGTACATCCCTCCCCCCCCCGCCATTATAGGGATAATAACCAAGTGCATACGAATAAGAAATCTGCAAAATATTGAAAGAACTTTACTAACAAAACATAAATATCAGGACCGGATGTCTGGAGGGTCGGTGTTTTGTACAAAGGCCCCGACACTTTATTAATGTCATAGAAAAAAAACTGTATTTCATTACCTCATTTGACAATAGAAAATTAAATAAATCTGACAAGTCTTCACTGGGCTTAATAGGTGCAAACTGCTTTCTTTTTAAGGAGGCGGACTCAAACCTAATTAGAAACATTCAGTCAGTCATGTGCCATACGTGATTCCCTGAGGAAGCAGATTTTTTTCCTGCAGTAGGTTGCCATTTCTTTCTATGGTAGATCAGCTGCCATCCCAGGCTATAGAACCCGGTTTGTCCTGTACCCATAGCTAGGGGTAGGAGAAGAGGATTCATGCCTTTCCCAAGGCTATTAGCACGTAAGTGAATGTAATGGATTCGACTAGAATTCGAACTCGGCTCTCCGATTCCTCAATCCGAACCGCTACCCATTACTCTACCATCAAGTAAAATGCCATTTGCCCGTGTGGGGATTATAGCTGATCTGTAGAAAAAGTTAGGGTTGATATTGAACTGCTGGACATGGTTTCGCATTTGTAAAAATGTTAAAGAGTTTAATCATATAGAGTGTAACCCGGATATAAGAGAAACCCGGATATAAGAGATTTTCTCTGGTCCCAAATTAGAGCCTGTGTTAATGTATATAAAACAGACCAAACCCGGATATAAGAGACTTCTTCTCCGGTCCCGACAACTCTCTTATATCCGGGTTACACTGTACTTAATTTCTTTAGTTTAGCAATAATACTTTCTGACCACCGACAATTCCTTTTTAATTCACCATGCCCTTCTATAGTATTACCAATGTTGTTTTATAGTAACAAATTAGTTGCAATTAATAACCCTATTCTTTCAATAACACTTTGGCGTCCTGGTTAAGACGTTAAACTACATCAGCGTCCTGGTTAAGACGTACGTAAGCAAGGTCTCTGATCAGGAGGTTTTTGGAACCACCTCTTAATTGCTGGTGTTCCCAGGTGACCCGGGTGGTAGCACCGGTTAGGGTCCCAACTATGGGCAAATAGTTAACTATTACCAGCAATACTTTTTTGACCAGCAATAAAACTTTTTGGCATTTAACCCATTGAGGTTGATATGCCGTAAAAAACAAAATAAACCAAACCAATCTAAACCAAAGAATACATATTCTACGAATTGTAAAAATGGTCGGCATTAAATAACCCCATTGAGGGTTGATAGGTCAAAATAAACCAAACTAATCTCGAAATCTATCAAAATGTAGTCGGCATTAAATAACCCATTGAGGTTGATATGGTAAAACAAAATAAACCAAACTAATCTAAACCAAAGAATACATATTCTATTCATACGAATCCCTAAAATGTTGTTGGCATTAACAACCCATTGAGGTTAGAATCTATCCTAAAATGTAGTCGGCATTAAATAAATTGAGGTTGATATGCCGTAAAACAAAATAAACCAAACTAATTAAACCAAAGAATACATATTCTATTCATACTTTTTTCGGCATTAAAAAAATGAGGTTGATTACCAGCAATAAAACTTTTATTCATACGAATCTATTAAAAATTAACCCATTGAGGTTGATATGCCGTAAAACAAAATAAACCAAACTAATCTAAACCAAAAGAATACATATTCTATTCATACGAATCTATCCTAAAAAATGTAGTCGGCATTAAATAACCCATTGAGGTTGATATGCCGTAAAACAAAATAAACCAAACTAATCTAAACCAAAGAATATTCATATTCTATTAAAATGTTGTCGGCATTAAATAACCCATTGAGGTTGATATGCCGTAAAACAAAATCTATAAACCTAAAAATACGAATCTATCCTAAAAATGTTGTTGGCATTAAATAACCCATTGAGGTTGATATGCCGTAAAAAAAAAAAAAAAACCAAACCAAAGAATACATAATACGAATCTATCCTAAAAGCATTAAATACCCCATATTCGTAAAACAAAATTAAACCAAAAGAATACATATTCTATTCTACGAATCTATCCTAAAATGTAGTCATTAAAAACCCATTGAGGTTGATATGCCGTAAAAAAAAAAAAAAAATAAACCAAACCAATCTAAACCAAAGAATACATATTCTATTCATACGAATCTATCCTAAAAATGTTGTTGGCATTAAATAACCCATTGAGGTTGATATGCCGTAAAACAAAATAAACCAAACTAATCTAAACCAATTCTAATACGAATCTATCGTAAAAATGTTTGCATTAAATAACCCATTGAGGTTGAATAAAACAAAATAAACCAAACTAATCTAAACCAAAGAATACATAGTTTGAACTATAAAATGTTTTCGGCACTAAATAACTCATTGAGGTTGATATGCCGTAAAACAAAATAAACCAAACCAATCAATAACACTTTGTTATATAGGAATAAAATGCCGCTGCCTAAACCTGAGTTTGAACATAGATCGCCAGTGAGTAAACATAGGCTATCCCATTATTGAATTAAGTAGACCACGTGACCATAGAGGAAACGCTTAAGTGGGAAGTCGCGTGACGTTTAATTGATCGTTATTTGTATTCTATCCTCTATTACTATACGGAGCGCTATTCCCTACTCTATTCACTATACTATTTCTCTATTCGGATCACTATACGGAATATTATTCGAGCAAGAACTATTAGTGAGAGTGTTATTCGAAGGCGTCTGGCACCAGCATTGTTCAATGGCGTTACTATAGTTGTATCTGCGATTACAAAGTCTCTACTACAACGAGCATTACGAAAGTGACAACAGGTATTCGTTGACATCACAAAAGTGGCAACGAGTGTTCGTTGACATCCTAAAACACTTTTAGACTACTGATTGTTTGTTTTTTACGTCTTAGCAACCCTTTGCAGGTTATTCAAAGCCAGAAAATAGTTTTAGATTGTAAGAATTTTGTTTTGTAGATAATAATGATTTACTGATACATATCTTACTAATTAACCCATAACTGGGGAGAGAAGAATTGGATTCATTCCTTGTCGCGAGGGTATTTACGGATAAGTGACTATAACGAACAAAACAGGAATCGTTATCTAGTACAACACTCTCGCATAAAACTTTTCAGCACCTGTTATTTCCAAGCTGTCACCCATCTAGTTACTGACCAAGCTCGACGTTACTTAACTTTGCTGAACGTAGGAGAATCGGTGTTCCAACGGGATATGGCCGTAAACATATTACCCCACTCGCATATTGTAGCTTATGGCATCTGGTATTCCCAATCGGTCACCTATCTAGATACTGACCAAGCTCGACGTTGCTTCACTTCGTTGATCGTGCGAGAAAGGGTGTTTCAATATGATATGGTCGTAAGAAAATTGCATCTCCGCGCATCCAAGCTTACAGCACCTTGTGTTCCTAATCGGTCACTCATCTAGTTACTGACCAGGCTCGACGTTGCTTAACTTCGGTGATCGTACGAGAATCCGTTTCAACGCGTTATGGCCGTATACACATTACACCACCCGCACATCGTAGCTTATAGCACCTACTATTCCCAAGTGGTCACCCATCTAGATCCTGACCAGGCTCGACGTTGCTTAACTTCGGTTATCGTAACAGTGCATTTATTTTTTTTTAAAACGTGGAATTTTGCTGTGTAGAGAATTCTGCTATATAGAGATTTCTGAAAGAAGAATCTGCAATGTTATTAGTCTTAACCTTGCATCTCGGCTTTTTCTCGCTCACCACCGCCGTAACGTAGTTGCCCTGTGTCTTTCCTATAAATATTTTGATGATAATTGTTTTAATGTACTTTCTTCTTTAGTACCTCGACCTCATGAATTTAAGCGTAGTGCTAGATTGGCAGATAGGTCTTATCATTTTACTGATGGAACTGTTAGATTTAACCATAAGTTCTATGCTAGTTTATTCTGTCGTATTTTTCGCTTGTGGAACTCTCTTCTGGCTTCTTGTTTTCTTATCAACTACGGTCTTCACATATGCATCGTCAATGGTCATTTCTTTTTCCTTGAAACCTGATCATTGCTTTCTTAGGTACTTCTATTCTCTATATCCGTGGGGGGGATATGATTTATTTATTTTTTTTAATAAATTGTCTGTTTCGACAGCTAGACACTTCCAAGGCTATCAAACATATACTTGGTAAACCAACGATTTACATAGACGTACAGACAGAAATAACAAAAGCACATTCACTGAAAGTAAATATGCTATAGCAGTGGTTCTCAACTGATTTTAGGCCAAGCCCCACTTTGGTATTTCTAAAATTCTGGTACCTCCCCTGTAATATTTAATTCTTACATATTGAAAATTTTACTGCAATTCACGTGAAGGAAACTTAAAAGGCCATTAACTTGGTCTCTAAACAAGCCTCCAAAAAACATGGCGTCCATGAAAGAGAAAAATTAAAAAAACAAAAAGACAGTTAAATATAAATAGTTTCAAAACATATAATAGAGAACTGAAAAGCAAAAATATAAAATATTTAAATGAAAGTTTATTCTGTAATATAATTTGATCATTTAAATCATGAAATAATAATGCAAAATGAAATTTTGAGCTTACTAGAAAACAATTCACTGTTAATAATTCATTCACGAATTGCCCTCTTATTCTGTTGGTATAGTAAAGTGGAATTCCCTTCCGTTTATTTGCTTCCCTGATAATTACAATCTTCAAAAATTTAAAAATAACGTCAATCGCTATCATCTATCTTCTTGAACCCCGTTCAGCTTTTATCCTTTGCTCGGTCCCCGCTATATCGAGTCTTTTCTCTAACCTTCCCTCTCTGTAAGCCATCTGCGTACAAACTGCATTCCCACATTGCTTCGAGGGAAATGATTAAAAAAAATAATTTCACACGCCTCATTCGGTAACACTCTACCTTGAGTGGCTCTTCAGCATTGTCTAGGGAGGACATTAGTCAGAAATAAATAATATTTGTTTAATTTTATGATTTTTTTAATTTCCCTGTCTTTGTCTTTTTTAATTGCTTAAGTCACACTGATATCGAAATTACACTTGCTAATTATTTAGTCAAATATTAGTTGATTATAAAAAATAAAAATAATCACCGTTAAACTTTTTAACACTTTCTTTCTTTCTTCTATTCATTTTAACTTTCTTTCCGTAAACATTTTAACCAGTTCTCTTTTCTTTCCTTTTCTTTTTTCTTTTTCTTTTTTCTTTTTCTTTTTCTTTTTTCTTTCTTTCCTTTTTCTTTCCTTTTTCTTTCTTTTCTTTTTTCTTTCTTTTCCTTTCTTTTCTTTTCCTTTTTCTTTCTTTTCTTTTTCCTTTTTCTTTCTTTTCTTTTTCCTTCTTTTTCTTTTCCTTTTTTCTTTCCTTTCTTTTCCTTTACTTTTTCTTTTTCCTTTTTCTTTCTTTTCTTTTTCCTTCTTTTTTCTTTTCTTTTTTTTTTCCTTTTTCTTTTTCCTTTCCTTTTCTTTCCTTTCCTTTTTCTTTTCTTTCTTTTTTTTTTTTTTCTTTTTTCCTTTTTCTTTTTTTCTTTTTTCTTTCTTTTTCTTTTTCCTTTTCTTTTTTTTTTCTTTCCTTTTCTTTTTCTTTTCTTTCCTTTTCTTTCCTTTTCTTTTTTCTTTTCTTTCCTTTTCTTTCTTTCCTTTTCTTTCCTTTTTTCTTTCTTTCCTTTTCTTCTTTAAACATTTTAACAATTTCTTCTAACCTTTTTAAGATTTTCTTTCATCTTTTCTTTCTTCTATTCTTTTTAACTTTCTTTCTTTTTGTTTGTTTCTGTAAATATTTTAAGCCATTCTTTCTGCTAGACTTTTTAACTTCTTTCTGTCTTTCTTTCTTCTATCCTTTTTAATTTACGTTTTTTCATTATGTAAATATTTTAAACCATTTTTTCTTTTAACCTTTTTCCTTTTTCTTTCTTTTTTGCTTTCATTCTTCTAACCTTTTTAACTTTCTTTTTCTTTCTTTTTTGCTTCTTTCTTTCTTTCTTCTATCCTTTTTAACCTTCTCTCTTCTAATCTTTTTAATTGAAATATTTTAATCTAAAAGTTGACAAACATGGATTTTTCATTAGGCATTTTAATGTAGGAAAATATAAATCGAGAATTTACCGTCCAGGTTATAATTAAATACCAACAAAAAGGTGTATACAAATAATGCAGGCTTTCTTTTATGCACTGTAAACAATAACCGAGCCTATCTTTGTCGGACAGAAAAAAAATGTTAATAAAAAAAAAAAGCATAATTTCCATCTCGTACGACGCGAACGCAACGCCTCTCATGCCAGTTACACACAAAAAAAAAGCTGCTTTAATATGAAAAGTAGGCCAGGCCTATTCAAACATAAACTCATTCTAAATAGAATCTGAACCTTACAAATCCGGAAAAACTGACGTCGGAAAATTGCCGGAGTAACAGGTTTTCGAAACTAGTGAAGTGTAGGGCACAGAACGACAAAAAAAAATAATACATACTAAAACGGTAACCTGCGGATATTTGGCAATATTTCTTTTCGCGCTGATATATTATGCAGAAATAGCCTGGCTGCTAATTCAAAACATAGAAGGTTTTCTATTTCACTGATGCAGACGTTAAGCGCATGAAAACATTATCGCATCATCTAGCTTTTCTTTCTTTCTTTCTTTAAACTTTTTAACACGTTTTTTCTTCTATGCTTTTTTACTTTCTTTTCTTTTTAATTTCTTTATTTATTTAACTCTTTCTTTTTAACATAATTTTTTTTATTTCTTTCTTCTTACTTTAAACATTTTAACTCTTTCTTTCTTCTATCCATTTTAACCCATTCTTTTTTCTATTCCTTTAATTACTTTCTTTCTTTCTGTAAACATTTTAACCCTTTCTTTCTTCGATCATTTTTAACTTTCTTTCTTCTTTTTCTTTCTATCCTTTCTAACTTTATTCTATCTTTTTATATTTCTTTATTCTATCTTTTTATATTTCTTTATTCTATCTTTTTATATTTCTTTATTCTATCTTTTTATATCTATATTTCTTTATTCTATCTTTATATTTCTTTATTCTATCTTTTTATATTTCTTTATTCTATCTTTTTATATTTCTTTATTCTATCTTTTTATATTTTTTCTATCTTTTTATATTTCTTTATTCTATCTTTTATATTTCTTTATTCTATCTTTTCTTTCTTTATTCTATCTTTTATATTTTTATTCTATCTTTTTATTTTTTCTATCTTTTTTTATATTTCTTTATTCTATCTTTTTTTATATTTCTTTATTCTATCTTTTTATCTTTTTATATTTCTTTATTCTATTTTTATTTTTCTTTATTCTATCTTTTATATTTCTTTATTCTATCTTTTTATTCTTTATTCTATCTTTTATATTTCTTTATTCTATCTTTTTTATATTTCTTTTTCTATCTTTTTATTTCTTTATTCTATCTTTTATTTTTTTATTCTATCTTTTTTATTTCTTTTATTCTATCTTTTCTTTTTTATTCTCTTTTATATTTCTTTTTCTCTTTTTTTATATTTCTTTATTTTCTTTTTATTTCTTTTTCTATCTTTTATTTCTCTTCTTTTTATATTTCTTTATTCTATCTTTTATATTTCTTTATTCTATCTTTTTATATTTCTTTTTTTTCTTTTTCTATTTTTATTTCTTTATTCTTTTTTTATTTTTTATTCTATCTTTTTTAACAATTCTTCTTTCTTTTTCAACCTTTTTTTTAACATTCTCTTTCTTTTTTCTATCTTTTTTATATTTCTTTTATTCTCTTTTTTTTCTTTTTTATATTTTTCTTTTTCTTTTTTCTTTTTTTCTTTCTTTTCTTTCTTTTCTTTCTTTCTTTTCTTTCTTTTCTTTTTTTTTCTTTCTTTCTTTCTTTCCTTTTCTTTCTTTAAACATTTTAACAATTTCTTTCTTTCATTTTTTCTTCCTTTCTTTAAATCTTCTTTCTTTCTTTTTCTTTCTTTCTTTCAGCATTTAACTCTTTCTTCCTTCTATTCACTTTAACTTTCTTTCTTCCTTTTATTCTTTCTTTAAAGATTCTACCACTCTCTTCTCTTCTTTTATTTTTCTTGTTTTCTTTCTCAATACATTTTAACCCTTTCTTTCATCCTTTTTTAAATGTCTTTCCTTCTTTGTTTCTTTCTCTAAATTTTAACGCTTTCTTTCTTTTATCCTTTATAATTTCTTTCCGTCTTTCTTTATACATTTGAATCCTTTTTTCTAATATACTTTTTAAGTTTCTTTCTTTCCAAACATTTTAACCTTTACTTTCCTCTATCCTTTTTAACGTTTTTCTTCCCCTCTTTTTAAAACATTTTAACTCTTTCGTTATTCTATCTTATCGTTCATTTATTCATTCGGTCTTTATTTATTTAAACACTAGCAGCATGGCTCGGCGTTGCCCGTGCTTGATTCAAAAATCGTACGACTCATACAGCAATCGCTATCACTTGACTTAAAATATTTTTGCCCTTCCTTGCCTTTAAAGGAGTGCCCTTTGCCGTGCTAATGTTGCTACATGCCTTACTTGTCTATCTCACACTGCGAATTTTTTTCTAAGCTCTATACTAAACATTAAATCTGTTAGAAAAAAGAACTAAACAAAATGAACACAAAACGATCACCTTTAAAAAGGACTCGTAACAGGAAAAACCGAATGAAAAAGAATGTTAACAACAAATACTTTTTCACACCCATCCCAGTTCTACTCAACGTTGATTCCGCAACGTTGAGTTTAAGCAAGCGAATGAGCCAATTGGAGTAAAGTGCCATGCAGATTTAAATTTTTCCCACTTGTGACGAATGCAGCTATCGACTTTTTTGCATGCTAGTTAACATTCGTGTCAGTAGCTGGTTCTCGCTGGCCAATAGAATCTTCCTGCCTATTCGTGGCGCTGGCCAGTAGAAAATGGCCGCAAACTACATGAAAAGTGCCGTAGAAGCATGAAAAATCGATTATTTTTCCACTATCGATGTGAGTTGGGAAATGCAACGCCGGTCTTGGCCTTTCCACTAACTTGGCGCATGTGCATGTAAATTTTGGTGCAAATCCGTCGAAAATTGTGGCCGTGCATTCGTTACACACACACACACACACACACACACACACACATCCTGCGTTTTATAGATAGATTTTAACGCTCTATCTTTCTTTTTGTGGCGCATGTTCTCATTCAGTTTAAAATAATGGTTACCGACACGGAAAATAAGACCGGCGCACCGAGTTCAAATCCTCGCTAAAGTCATTGCATTCACTTTCACATTCAATCAAAATGACAGCTCTAACTTCAAAAACAAAACTGTTGGACATGAGTCTAACAACTCTACCCCATCAAAACCTAATTGCTCTAGAGATTACTCCAACGACGTCCACTATGGAAATTCAAAAATACCCCAAATGTTACCACATTATATTACTACCCGCAAGAATTACCTTGAAAGAATTGTCAACACCAAGGGGTTTAGAAATGATATAAAAAAGGTAGCTTAAAAATTTTAAACTTTAAAGAATCAAGAAAGAAAGACAAATGGAAAGATGACAAAGTAAAAGAAAAAAGTTTTTATTTCATTTCCAAACCCTTTTGGCGTTGACATTTCTTGTAAGGTAATTCTTGCAGGCCGTAATAGCTATACATATGGGGTATTTTTTAATTTCTCTTATGTGTAATTTATTTATATATGCTCTGTTAAAAATACATTGTGCTCTCTTTGTGGATCAGTTTTAATATTTTATATTATTAGGATTCATTTGGATTATTCACCCACGGATTTTTACTTATATATATATGTGTGTGTGTATATAAATATTCTCAGATGGAGTGTATCTGTACAAGAAACAAAATAAATAAAAAGAGACAAGAGGAAAACTATCTAGCCGACGCGTTTCGTCCTCAGAGGGACTTTAAGTCAATTTTTCTCCGATAAAGCTCCTCAGAGGACGAAATGCGTCGGAAAAATAGTTTTTTTTTCCTCCGTTCTTTTTATTTATATATATATATATATATATATATATATATTGGGTGTAACAGCAGAATTGTCCAAATCGTGTAACAGTATAACCGTACACCCCACATAATGTTTAATATCTAAAAAAAAAAACAACTAAAACTAGTGAGTTTCTTTTTTCCAGGTTTTCAGTTAAAACGTTCATTGAAAAACCCTTTATTATTCAGCTAGAAAGAGAATTGGTTAAAAACCTTTTGTGTCAGTCCCTCTCTCTTCCCTAACTGAGCAATGCTGAGAGGAAAAAGATCATTTACGCCTTCAACAATGGTACCAACAGTCATATTCTGGGTTTCATCTTCAACATACATTCAAGAACCATCAAAAGAGCGGTGAATAAGTTTAAAAAAGAGGGAACAGTAGAGAGGAAAACTGGAACAGGAAGTCACAGCAAGAAGAGGGATCACCATTTCACCTTAGAGCTAAAGAGATCAATTAGAAAAGATCCAACTCAATCCATAAGATGTTTGGCATGTGAAAGAGGACCTTCAGCTATGACAGTCCAAATAGCAGTGAAAAAAGACTTGAAAATGAAATCGTACGTGAAATGTGTGAAGCACCTCGTTACTCCAGGACAGAATGTTAGAAGATTAGAGAGGGCGAATATCATCTTGAATAAGTTGGAAAATGATCCTCGAATAATAATATATATATATTTGAACTTCACTTCAATCATTCATGAGCTTCCGATATGATTAATTAATGATGAAGATACCCTTTTTGTTCATAATAGATTTTATTACAATTCTTCTAAGATTGGAGAGTAATTATACATCCTTAATGCTCAAAATTGTGTCCAATAGTGTTATAAAAACCTCGAAGAATTCCAGTAAGATATCTTTAATCATTTCTAAGATACAACGGTTCAAATCTTAATATAACAATTGGACAATTTTGCTGTTACACCGGGTATATATAATATACTGGGTGTAACATAATCTCCCCCCACCAAACAGTGCATAGAAGTGTTGCATAGGAAGGATGGGAAAAGTGCAATAGACTTGAGGTGCATTATGTTGAAGGGGAAACCATGTAATTTGTTGTTTGGAATTGAAATAAATTGTTTGTGACACCAGTCCCCGTGTGTGTATATATATATATATATATATATATATATATATATATATATATATATATATATATATTTCCAAGAGGATAGAATCCAGGTAGAACTCAATGTCCAGGACAGAGTAAGAATATAATATAAAAGGCTCAAACACTAATATTCCATGGTTATAATTTATTACATTGGAATCGTAATCACGATCCAATTCCTCAGACCAACAAATTCAAAAAGAAATCGGAAAATATAACTCCGGATATAAGAAAGAAAATATAGTAAATGTAAAATAAATTCGTGGGTATATAATCCAAGTGGATTCTAGTAATATAAAAATATTAAAACTAATCCACAAAAGAGAGCTCGATATATTTTAATTCTACAGAGCAATATGAATGAATAATCAAAAAAGTCTTTTTACCTCATGTGGGGAATACACTATTTCGGCAAACGATGAAAGTGGTCGTCTGTCTTTTCAACCCCGATGTGAAATCTTCCGTTGTGCCAAAAAGAAATTTTACTCGCCAGAATCCATCTTGCACACATCTACAGTTCCCATGTGTATTGAATACTGTTGCCAAATCTGGTCTGGTGTTCTTAGTGTACATCTCGAGATACTTGACAAAATCCAGAGAAGGGTCTGCAATACAATCAAACCTGACCAGCCATATTGTCTCCAGTCACTTTCTCAGCGACATGTGGTTTCTCTGTCTGTTCTACAAATATTTTGATATCAACTGTTTGGATGAGCTTTTTTTCCTGGTGTCCATCTACCTGAATTTAAGCGTACTACTAGATTGGCAATTAGGTATCACCGCTTTACTGTTGATCGTCCTGGGTATGACGATAAACTACATCCGGCAGCAAGGCCTCTTATCGGGAGGTTTTGAGGAGCTTGGAATATCTCTTAATTGCTGTTGTTCCCAGGTTCACCTTGACCCAAGGGTGGTAACACCTGTTAGGTACCTAGTTATGAACACTCAAACTGGGGTCAAAACACCATGAAACTATAAAAATACATTTTTATAGTAAAAATACTAGCAATACATTTTTGAAAAAAAATTACCATCAATATATTTTTTTTAAATAAACAAAAATATTACCAGCATGCATTATTGTAAAAGAAATTATTAATGCTTCCAAGAAAATTAAATTTCGGCATTAAATGACCCATGAGGAGTTGATATACCGCTAAATCAACAAACAAATTTAATGTTGAATTAGATAGATGCAAGCGTCATTTCTACTCTAACAGGTTTTTTTTCCTCGCACTTTCCGCCAGTGGAACTCCCTTCCGATTTCTTGCTTCCCTGATAACTACAATCTTCAAAAATTTAAATGCGACGTCAATCGCCATCTTCTATTTTTTGAACCCTGTTCCGTTTTTGTCCTTTCCTCAATCCTCCCCATTTTCAATCTTCCCATTCTCTTTCACCACCTGCATCAACACCCACGTCCTAGTGGCATTGCCGCCTTCCTTGGCGTGAAATGATAAAAACAAAAATTCCGTGTCAATTGCATATTCTTAAAATGGCGCTGTAACAACAATATAAAAAAAAAGAATTAATAAAATTCGTCTCTGAAGATGAATCCAGACCCTGGCGTTCAGCGGACTTTGATAATAAATTTAGCGGACGTAACAAGATTCAATATAGTCACCCCATTTCATGTCAGTGGAAGACGTGAGGTCAAGAAGGCGTAGAATGAGGCTCTCCTGCAGTTCAACGTCGGCCATCCTGATAGCAGCCAAAAAAAGTTTCTCTGTGGTGCTTTCACCAGAATGGATTCAATTAAGATACCTCTGGATGTGCATTGGATATCGACTCGGAATGAGAATTTGGAGTTCCGAGTTCGAATCCCAGGCGAGCTCGTTATATTCACTTACGCACAAATACCATTGGGAAAGGCATGAATCCATCCCTTCTCCTCCCAGCTATGGGTTAAATAGCAGGCTAGACTGTTTTTTTTTTTTTTTTGCCTTGGTTGGCAACCAGTCTAGCGTAGAAAGAAATGGTAACCTACTGCGGGAAAAATCTGCTTCGTCAGTCATGTATCGAAAGATACATGATCATCCAACCGTGTATTACGTGTGACACTTAACTGATTGACTGTATATGTAATGGTTTTGAGGACTACCTTTTTTGCTTTCTTAGTACGTTAATGTTCGATAAACTTCATTTTTGTGTATGTCGGGTTATTTCTATGAAACCCAAACACACAACCTGCTAAGTTTTCCTTATGTTTTCTAAGTAGTGTCAGATGGTTGATTGTAATGGATATCATTATCAATTCCCAAATATTTTTCTGTGGATTGATTTCCACTTCGGAGCTTCATCATCAGAGTTCGATGAACATCCAGGTTTGGATTTATCTTCCAATGACGTTTCTCCAGAACGAATCTTTGTAAACCAGTTTCGTACTTCCAGGTCAGTTATGACTCCTTGAGTCATATTACATATGACTTCATTTGAGTCATATTACATCATTTGAGGCATATTTCATATGACATCATTTGAGTCATATTACATCATTTGAGTCATATTTCTTATTACATCATTTGAGTCATATTTCTTATTACATCATTTGAGTCATATTTCTTATTACATCATTTGAGTCATATTATATATTCCATCATTTGAGTTATATTACATATTGCCCCATTTGATTGATATTGCTTCATTTGAGTCATATTGTATGAATTGAATAATATTACATATTACATCATTTGAGTCATATTACATATTACATCATTTGAATCATATTACATCGTTTGAGTCATATTACATATTGCATCATTTGGGTCATATTACATATTGCATCATTTGAGTCATATTACATATCGCATCATTTGAGTCATATTACATATCGCATCATATTACATATCACATCATTTGAGTCATATTACATATTGCATCATTTGAGTCATATTACATATTTTTAAATGTCTCCATACCAGTATTCCTCTGCTTGGACTCCCATAACCTTATGTGACGTAAATGCGCTTTCAATCTCCCGGATCGGATTAAGAAATTTACTCTTTTAATCTACTGTGAACGCCGCCATTGCTACGCAAAATCTAAGCTCTGTTAGTGTACTAAAAATTTACCCTTAACTGTCATGTATGATTGATTAGTAGTCACGGTAATACGTTTTATTACTATTAAGTTTGAGAGGCAGGGAGATATATTGCATTAAGGCAGAGGCCATTTTTTGGAACCGTGGTATTGCCCTCAATTTGAAAGTTGGGGTGTGACATGATAAATAATGACGCAAAATATTTTTCCAAGTCATTAAAGTTTGTTTTTTTGTTGTTATTTTTTTTTTTTTTTTAAGTTTAAAAAATTAAGTCTATGTTCAAAATTGTAACGTTGGAATTTCATTCCTGTGACCAGTGAAAGATTTATAGGACAGCCTTATAAAATTTATAATTTACTGAAGCTTTACAAATTGTATATGTACAAGATTCATAACACAAGCACATTATTACTAAATCATTTTGCCATCAAATAAGACCTTCATTTACTTCAAAGGGGAGTTATACTGAACAATTTAGTTATATTATTATGTAATACGTTATACAGTGCAATGTGATTTTCGGTAAACAATGCAAATTTAAAACATTTTTTCTTATGTGTGCCCATCAATATTATGATGTTATATACACTTTTATCTATTTTTTGTTTTTATTAATTATGATCTATCAAATGATCTAATATATCATATTCATTGAATAGACTTTTATGTAACCATTACAATTTTTTACACAGTTTTTATTTATCGAATACAGTAAAAAAATTGCATATTTTACTTGTGGTGATTAATAATTAGAATTCTGACTTGAATATATTTTCCATTCAATACCAACTTTATTTGGATTTATTCTTGAAATAGTAAAATTTTGAAGTCAGTTTATAAGCAAAATTGCGGTAATTAGGTATTTCTATACATTTTTTCAGACGATATTTAAAATGTTCAAAAATTAGTAAAAGCTATGAATGGTTTCCGTACTTATATCAAACCGCAGCTTTTACACGGAGTGCAATATTGATTTTCTAAAGAAAAGTAAAAAATCAACCTGCCCTAATGTTGTCTGATAATGGGCGCAAATGTACCTTTCGTTTCTCTAGTTCAACTGCCGGTGCGTTAACGTTTATTACTGAATTTGTCTATCAAGCTTTAGATAAGAACGACGTGGCTTGGGCTTTGACTTTAGATAAGAACGACGTGGCTTGGGGTGTGACTTTAGATAAGAACGACGAGGCTTGGGCTGTGGCTTTAGATATCTTGAAGGTCTTTGATTCGTATGCTGACCTTCAGAAGCTCAAAAGCTATTGTGTTTCTGGCCAAATCATCATAATCATCCTTTATTCAGTTAGCGCATGTTTTTCGCCGCTGTGGTCACCACTCATGGTGACGTTCAACGCGAAATAATGCAATGCCTTGCCGATTCCTTTTGCACTGGGGATGTTGAGGTTACCCCGTCTTTCCTTTCAGATGTTCCTCTGCCCACTCTGGCTAAATATTTGACTTAATCCAATCGTTCTTAACAAATCGTCTAATGAATGTCACGTTGAACGGCCACGTTGCTAGATCCTTTCGCATTAATGCAGGTTCCCCTACCCTGGACTATATCCTTGGACCTACGTTGTTTCTTATCGACATTAACAGCCTTTCTGACATATTTAAGTTGGTCAGGATGATAATATTGTCATTACGACTGGTTCCCCAGAACGGAAATTACTTATGACTCAACCTAATACATATTTTACATGGGATGTTTAAAACCCCAACATTACTTATACCCCGCAATGTTAATGGTGGGTTACAAATACAGCTATTTGGTGGAGGGGGAAAATGGTTTTTTTCTCTATGGGGGGATCTTAATGAAAGTGGGTTAGAAAAATCATTTAAGAGCCAAAAATTGAGAATATAATAAGCGGGTTGCCGTAATAAGTTCGGGCAGTCGGAAAAAAATGTCACTCACGTTTATTAATTAATCTTATTTATTTATTTTTTACTACTACCCACAGATCCGTCATTAGTTATTTATAAAGGAAGTGCATTTCCAAAACTTAGAAGTAAGCGTTATTTCGTTCGTGCTTTTCTGCAATCCGTGGATAATTAACATACGTCTATGACGTCATTCACATTTCAATGCGGACCACAGAATTTGACTTGTACCAGTTTTAGATTGAAAAAGTTTAATGGATTCAAATACCCACCGTTTATTTTTTTTTTTTTTTTTTTTCGCAGATCTGGCAAGAACAACAATCAAAGAAAAATCGATCGGCAAAATATGTCTGGAATATGGAAGATTTTAAAAAAGTCGATCCTAAAAAAACAGATTATTTGCTCGGTGAGTTAAAACAATGCCTAACCTATTCATTGTCTTCCTTGTTCTTACCCAGCAACCTCTTGCTGTGAATTTTTTTTTTTTTTACTGCCCACAGATCCATTATTAGTTATTTATTAATCTTATTTTTCTATTATCTACAGATCGATTAGTTATTAATAGTATTTTTTACTACCGAAAAACGCATTATTACTTATTCTTATTTTTTATTACCCACGGATCCATTATTAGTTATTAGTAGTATTTGTTACTACCCACAGATCTCTTATTAGTTATTCATTAATCTTTATTTTTTACTACCTACTAGTACATTATTAGTTATTTATTAATTTGAGGGTTGCAAAACAAACAGAGACTAATGAATAGTACGTGACATTTCATCTTGTCACTTTTATATTCCACTCCAATACTTTGTCACTTACCCCAGGTCATTTTGGACCGTACATTTTCGTCTACGATGTCCGGGAGACTGCTCAGCTCATCTCTTCGGCACTTGTTTATATATCTGTCTCTCATGTATTCTCGTTCCAACGCTTTCAAGACCGGGTGCAGCTGGGTGGATTCAGGTGATTCTGTGGCTGGGCGTTCACCCTCAGCTCAACCCTGCGCTAGGCTTCTCTTTCATGGTTTTCTTTTGTCATATTTGAGCGCAAATTCAATTCTGGTGGAAAGGTATCTTACTTTCAACATAAGACAGCAAGTATAGGTCACCCAGTGTGGATCAAGTATGCTATTCAGTAGAAATGACCTGCTGTGAAACCGGCTTTCTAATTATTGCATGCCATTTAGGTCCTGTTTCAGAGTTATATATATATATATATATATATATATATATATATATATATATGAGGATAAGTCTAAAATTATCCGCCCTTTCGTCATCACCTATCTTTAGGTTTGTCACACTGTATTCTGCTCATACGTGCTTATAGTTGGTGCTATTATGGTCACGTGATCGAAGTATGAGATTGATCACACCAGTTTTATCGCTGCTGTTACAATGTATACATGGCCACACCCCTAGCAGTATGCCCCAAGAGAGAACAAAGGGCGTTGATCACACACATATAACATTCTTATATAAGCATCCGTTGCCTTGCAGGTCATATTCCAAAAATCTCAAAACGCCGGCTCTAAATTTAATTTTGTATATATATATATATATATATATATATATATATATATATATATATATATATATATATATATAATCTTAGATAGCGACTTGGATTGAGAGAGCCGAGTTCGAATTCCAGTCGAATCCATTACATACACTTATGTGCTAATAATACCCTTGGGAAAGATATGAATCCCTTCTCCTCCCTCTAGCTATGAGTAAATAGCAGGACAGACTGGGTTTTGTAGCCTTGGATGGCAACTGGTCTAGGAGAAGGAAAACGTTTGGGGACCTTGGTGCATGTAGTACACCAGATCTCTGTATTCGGCCCTTCAAAACGTGAGGATGGTTCTGTACAAAACCTTCACGACTATAATCAAATCTCATGTGTTTTGGTCGCCTTCTCTTCTTCCTATTCTCTTTACCTATTGAGACAGTCACAAAGATAGCAAAAAGCTGTTACACTCCTAGTTAACCTTGACATAAGAATAAAAAAAAGCCCTTGGAAAGTAAAACGGAAACAGAATTACAATAAAAAAATAGGTTTATTGTTAATATTTATAAAGAAGTTTTAAATAATGTCACTTGACTGGGTTGTGACAAAAAACAGCATTCACGACGAGAGAGTTCATACTTAGGTGAGACGATAAGTATAAAAGAGATAGCAAACCCGGATCTAAACCCTCAAAGGTGAAAGGCCGTGACCTTTTTGACGGTTTGGTTCAACTGTCTTTTATGCATGTAAAGCAAGCTAGTAAAACCACTAAGACACAAGTGGATACTTGGTGTGGAAGAATTAGGAACAGAAAAAATATTAATGAGCGGGAAGAGAAAATAATAATCAGGAGGACAGTAGATAGTGATTGACATTGCATTCAAATTTTTGCAGATTAAAGTTGGCTGAAAAACAGGGAGCCGGAAGGGAATTCCACAAGAGAGAAGTGCGAGAAAGGAAACTATGACCATAGAAGTTATGGTTACATCTAGACAGCTCAACTGTATATCGATGAAACCTAGTTGCTAATCTAGTACTGCGCTTATATTTATAAAGTATAGCTTCTATAGGGAAGAGCGATATTTATTTCTGCTATGTACAGAAAATGTAACACAAGGCCAATATGGGGGATGGGGACGGTCTTCTTCTGTCTAAACATTAAATTTAGCTAGCAACAAACACTGACCTAAACATACCACAATATTCCTAACACCAAAACAACGCATTCTTACTTACGTTTCTTACTACATTCACCGTAATACCTCATTGTCTCTATGAAAGTCCTAACTAGTCCCCATATGTACAATTCATCATCTCTGGAATAAAACAACAATTTAAAACTAACTCCAATGTGTATTTACAATAGAAAAACAAAACTATTTACAAGAAACTAAACAAAATAATATTAGTAATAAAACTCCCCACAATCCCTAAATGTGGCAGAAACATCAGTTAATTGGACGGACTTAATGCGGAACTTTTAATAAAATAAAAATCAATCATCCATCCCAAACACTCACTCAAACACTCATTCAGACACAACAATGAATAGGAAAATCACACTAGAAACGAAAGGCTCCCCGCATCCACCAGAGAACTGACATCACTGACCATCTATTGAAGGAGGGGATGGGGAATTAAACTAAAGAAAAATTCCTTAGCGAAGAGCTCATCTGAACAATTACCATGAAAGTATTTATAGAAAAGCCACAGGGAGACAATTTTACCACGCTGGAAAAGTTACTGAAGCTGAGACGCCAGATCAGGACCAATAATATTGCTGATTTTTTCTCTGGATTCCATCAAGAATCTCTAGATATAAAACAAGAGCTCCGGCCCATATGTAGCAGCAATATTCTAAGCAGGAACGGATGGTAAATATACAGATATGCAAGATAGATTCAGGAGAGAAAATTGTCTCGCATGACAGTGAATCAACACGGATAGAAAATGAGTTCAGTAAATAAAAAATAGAAACGAGTGTAAGACAAGGATGTGTCTTCCCGCCGGATTTAATCAAACTATAGAGAGGATCGCAGAGCATTAAAAATCCTACCAGGATGCATTATTGGCGGTACACAATCTTATCAACATATGCAGATGACAAAGTGGATAGCAGACACAGAAAGGAATCTATAAGAACTCCTACAGAAGGTAATAAATGAAAGTGAGAAGAAAGAACTAAACGTAATTTGCAAGAAGACAATATATGGCTGTCAGATAAAGAAACAGATCATCTTGCGAATTACAAAGGGGAGATACCAAAATCAAGCAAGTACAACAATTTAAATATCTGAGAAATGTTTTATTAGAAGACGGGAAATGTGACACCGAAATCCGAAGATGCATTGGGATAGCGAAAGGTGTCTTCCAAAAGCTAAGCGAAGCATTATGAAACAGAAAAACTTCTTTAGGCACAAAGAAAGGAGTAGTGAACTGTTACGTAATATCAGTACACCTATATGGCAGTGAATGCTGGACAATCTCCTCACAGATGAAGAAGAGACTTGAAACAACAGACATCTGGTACAACAGAAAGATGCAAAGAATACCATGAACTGAACATCTGAGCAACGACCAAGTTTTAGAGAAAATGGAAAAACATAAGAACATTTATACATGACATCAGAAAGAGAGTTGAAATTGCTTGGAGAATTTGACACTAACGGGGCATATTGAAGCCTAGAGGGAAAGAAAAAAACCAGCATATTATATACCTAATGAACTTGAGTAAATGGGTGGTAGAATAAGTTTTTGGAAAGATAGCAAAAAAAAAAATAGATTTAGCTTCACCCTATACATGACCCGGGGGCCACTGGAGGTAAAAGTTCACTTTAAGAGGGTAGTTTATATGGACAGGAGGGATGTTAATAGTTGACTCTTGTTTGATTCAAAAATCGTACGACTCATACAGCAATCGCTATCACTTGACTTAAAATATTTTTACCCTTCCTTGCCTTTAAAGGAGTGCCCTTTGCCGTGCCGATGTTGCTACATGCCTTACTTCTTGCCTATCTCACACTGCGAATTTTTTCTAAGCTCTATACTAAACATTAAATCTGTTACGAAAAAAGAACTAAACAAAATGAACACAAAACGATCAGCTTTAAAAAAGGACCCGTAACTGGAAAAACCGAATGAAAAAAGAATGTTAACAACAAATACATTTTCACACCCAACCCAGTTCTGTGGAATCAGAATCAACGTTGAGTTTAAGGAAGCGAATGAGTCAATTGGAGTAAAGTGCCATGCAGATTTAAATTTTTCCCACTTGTGACGAATGCAGCTATCGATTTTTTTTGCATGCTAGCATGCTAGTTAACATTCGTGTCAGTCAGCTGTTGGCTCTCACGTTGGCGAATAGAATCTTCCTGCTTATTCATGGCAGCCAGCTATTGGCTCTCACTCTGGCCAGTAGAAAATGGCCGCAAACTACATGAAAACTGGCGTAGAAGCATGAAAAAATCGATTATTTTTCCACTATCGATGGGAGTTGGGAAATGCAAAGTCGGTCTTGGCCTTTCCCGCTAACTTGGAGCATGTGCATGTAAATTTTGGTGCAAATCCGTCGAAAATTTCGGCCGTGCATTCGTTACATACACACACACACACACACACACACACACACACACACACACACACATCGTGCCTTTTATGGATAGAGATTGGAGTGATCGGGGAATCATTTTCTTAGTAGTCTGTTTTACAAGAACAGTGGTTCGCGGGAAGAAACTGTCTGAGTGGAATTTCTCGCCGATGAAATACAGAGGGAATATGGGTGGCTTGCTACTATGTAAACAGAATGGCAGGTCGTAGCCGTAAATATTAGACCCGGCGGAACCAAGTAACGTACCTTTCACAATATTCATTGTCAGGGCTGATGCAAGAGTG